AAGCACAAATATAAAACTGAGTGACATCGGGATTGCTCTGCGTTGGGAGAGAGCAAGCCTGGGCCTCTCCTCCTACTCACCAGGGGGCCGCCCTGGCTCCATCCCAAGGGGAACATAACTGCACCGTGACCCTCTAAGTCCGCGTCCTGCGGCGCCTCCTGGACGCTGATGCGGGTCTGCTTTGGGGGGTGAGCACAGTCACCACCCGGAGGGAGAAACTGGACTCTGCGGCTTCATTTGAGAACCTCATAAAGTAGCTGCAACATTTAAAATGTGGCTCTTGGGCCCCCCCTGGTGGCGCAGCGGGTTAGAGCGCAGCACTGTGAAGCGATTCGCAGCCCCTGCAGCGGGAGTTCGATCCCAGCCCCGGGGTGACCCCCAGGGCGCGGCAGACCCCTCCTGTCTCCCCGCTGCTCCCCTCAGCCGTGTGCTTCGTCCATCTGCCTGTTCTGCTCCCCACTGTGTCTCTGGTGAAGCCTCTCACCCCCTGCACCTCTGGCCTGTACCCCAGCTCTGTCTGCACAAATAAATAATCTTTGAAAAAAAAGAAGGGACCAAATCTAGTCAGAGAAGCCCCACGTTTGCATGAAAAAGCACTCCAGCCTATCTCACTCTGTTCCGTTTGTCTTCACTGGCTACAACGAGAAACAAAGCTAGCCCACAGTCACCCCAATAAAGGACTCTAAACTCTGCAGGAAGGAGACAGTCACTTACCTGTTTTTCGGGCCCAAGTGCAGGTGAATCTGTTTCTAAGCACATGGATGTCAAAGGCAACTGTTTGACAAGTTTCTGCTTCTTAGAGAAAAGAGAAAGCTAGTAAGTGTAAAACGGAAGCTGTACAGAAAAAGTGAGCATCAGGTCACATACTTCAGTGCGTTCGATTCTGCAGGACCCCAAATTCACGCTTTAATTTTCCATTAACAGGGCCTCCCTGGGGGTGCAGGGGTTAAGTCTCAGCACTGTGAAGCTGGCTGCAGCCACTTCAGCACGAGTTAGATCCCCAGCCCCGGAGGTGACCCCCAGGGCGTAGACCCCTCCTGTCTCCCCACTGCTCCCCTCAGCAGGGGACTTCGTCCATCTGCCGGTTCTGCTCCCCACTGTCTCTGGGGAAGCCTCTCACCACCTCTGGCCTGTACCCCAGTTCTGTATACATCACTAAATATATCTTTAAAAAAAAAAAAGAAGAAAGTACACAATTTGGAAACTCTTAGTGTGTTTGCAAGGTCGTACAACCATCGCCACCATCTCATTTCAGCGCATTTTCATCACCCCAGAAAGAAGAACCAGGACCACCCCGCCCAAGAGCGGACACTCGCTTCTGTCCCCCTGGAGACTACTCGCTCACCTTCCACCTTTATGGATTCGTCCTGTCTGGACGTCCATGTGTGGCGGGTGCGTGTGTGTGTGTGGACCGGGGTCTGGACATCCATAGACCGGAGTGGGAACACGTGTGTGCGATCCTGTGTGCCTGACTGCTTCTGTGGAGCATGGTGATTTTGGGGTTCGCCCACCTTTGCCATGGATCAGCACTTCCCTGGGGTGACACGTCCCTGCGCTTATTCATCCACAGTGGATGGACACCGGGCAGTCTCCCTCTCGGCCGCCCGGGCGAGTGCCCGGTGTGCGGGGTCCGAGTGTCCGCTTCCCCCGGGGCTGCTGGGAGCTGCTTCCCGGGGCCCCGCCAAGCTGAGCGGGTAGTAGCGACCCCTCGGTGCCCCGGCACCTCTGAGGGCTAACGACGGAGCACCCCGTGTCTGGCTTGCTGGCCGTCCGCGTGTCTTCTTTGGAGAAACGTCTAGATCAATCCTCTGTCCTTTTTCAAGCCGAGTGGCTTTGGGAAGGTCACCCAGGAGACACACGGGTTCCTGGAAACCCAGGGAGGCGGGAAGGGGGTCTTGAAACCCGGCCTGGTGTTAAAGGGGTGCGGCGGGGGTGAGAGGGCTCCCCAGAGACAGAGCGGGGAGCAGAACTGGCAGATGGACGAAGCCCACTGCTGAGGGGAGCCGTGGGGAGACAGGAGGGGGCTGCCGCGCCCTGGGGGTCCCCTCCGGGGCCGGGGATCGAACTCGCGCTGCAGTCAGTGGCTGGGCGAGCTTCTCAGTGCTGTGCTGTACCCCTTTTTCCCCCACAGGGGGCCCCATCCTTCACTTTCTTGGCAGTGAACATTGAGAAACAATACTTCCGCTTTTTCACGTGTAATTTTTAAATTTGGAAGCTGCCCAACTTATCTACGTCTGACGCCCTAAGAATCTATCACCTAATCCAAGATCACAAACATTTAGGTCCGTTCTGCTCTCTGAGTTTTGTAATTTTAGCTCTTACACTTAGGTCTCTGGACCATTTTTGAGTTAATTTTTTATGTCAGGTGAGGTACAGACTGAAGGTTCATCCCTGTAAATAACTAGAACCGCATCCCGCGGACCTAATAAGCTCCTATTTTTTTTATTCTATTAGTTTATTTTAACATATTTTTGTGCCTTTTCCCATCTCAGTTGCAACCCCCTTGGGTTTCCCATCCCCAAATCAGCCGTGTGCCATCACCACAGTCCAGCGCATTTCCCTCCCCCCACTGTTTTGATCCCACTCCCCACTCGACCCCCACAAAATGTCTCTGTAAAGCTCCTATTTTAAGGCGCATTGCACAGAGCAGAAAGTGGGGTTCACGCTCACCTGCCCACTCCTCACAACAGAGGGAGGGATGGAGAAGAAGTACCCGGCCTGGACACCCTCCAGGGCCGCGGCCGGCCGGCCATCGAACGCATGAAGCAGCACCCTGTCAGCACCTCGAGAAGCACAGACCGGTTTCCTCAGTGGCAGTGACAGGCCTCTCCGTGAATCACAGCCAGCGACACGCACTGCAATAACGTCTGGTCACAGTCACTTAAAGATGAGGTCCTACACCTGCCCTCGGGCAGGTGACTGGGTCGTGTCAGACAGGAGCATCAAACGGACGGAAAATTCTTAATCTGCAGGGTAGAATCGTCCCACCCCGTGGAAATACACAGTCTGCAACAGTCACTTAAGCATTACCGTCGAGCCTTTTCCAGGCCTTGAGGCCCTACATGACCCAGAGAGCCCGCGGCCGGGTCTGGCTGGGCGCCCGGGGACGGCCGCTCCCTGCAGCGAGACCCCCCACGGCGGTTCCAGAAGTATCAAGTGACGCGGTGCTTTCTGGCTGGATGCAGATGCGAGTCCTTCACTGTCTGAGGCTTCCACAAGGCAGGTGGGGCCTGTGGGTCTGCTAATCCCAAGCAGCCTGTCCAGCCTCCGCATTGCTGCCTACGGGTCTGTATTCCTAAAGCCCGGTCATAGGAGCGCGACCCTGCGAGGTGACAGGTACCTGTCACGTCGATGGAGAGCTGGAGCACTCTGGGAAGGGTCTGCATGGCGAGGCGTGGCCGGGAATGCCCAGGGGGCTGAGGAGGGGTGCATAAACCCCTGCCCCGTCCTGCTTCTCCCTTTTGACTAATGCTGTCCATCAATAACAAGGCCAGGGGCCTGCCTTAAGTCGCCTGCTCCGAGACTCCCGTCTGTCAGTGTGGGGCTGCTGGACGCAGCAGGCCATGGAGGAGTGAGGCATGAAATCAATTCAGCACACCGTGACCGGCAGCGTGTGCTCACACACACCCAACACGGAACACGCCAGCCCACGCCACACGTGCCTGCACGCACACCCTGTGTGCACACGCCAAGCCCTACACGCCTCAGCACGTCAGGCGCGTGTTTGCGTGCGCCTCAGAGTACTTCAGGCTGCAGACGGCACGTGGGAGAGTATGAAGACCACGCTTGTACTCTAGAGACACCAGCAGCGGCAGCGCCTGGGCCCTCTGCGTGTGTCAGCCACGATCTGCGCAAGATCACGCTGCAAAGCCAGCCCCGACGTGACTTAGGGTGTTTCCTCTTGTGAATCAGCTGCTTGAGCTGAGGAAGAAACGGGAGCTGCTGATTTTGGATGGGCTCTAGAAATCGCCTGATGCGATTTTGCATTTGCTTCGGCCCACGTGGGAGCGGCCTGGAAGCCTGGCAAGAACCTTCCAGAACCGCCTGGGAGCATCTGCACCTCCACCCGGCCTGCCCCTCCCCTGTACGAAACCAAGACCTGGCGCCCCGGGAGATGAGGGACCGGGCGTGACACCCCAATGCCGGCGCACCCTCCCGGACCGGGGTACCTTGCTCCTTTAAGAGGCTGATGGTGGGTCTCCCAGCGGAGCGCGAGTGAACATTTCTGTTGAACAAGAAAAAAATTCCTTTACTTAGCCTGGAAGTATTATTTTTATCCTGTTAAAATAATTCACAGAGGGCCCTCCCTGGTGGCGCAGCGGGTTAAAGCGCAGCACCAAGAAGCTGAAGCCACTGCAGCACGAGTTCGATCCCCGCCTGCCCCGGAGGTGACCACATGGTGGGCAGATTTCTCCTGACCCGCCCGCTGCTCCCCTCAGCAGTGGGCTTCGTCGATCTGCCTGTTCTGCTCCCCACTCTGTCTCTGGTGAAGCCTCTCACCCCCACACCTCCGGCCTGTACCCCAGTTCTGCATGCATCAATACATAAATCTTAAAAAAAAAAAATTCACGGAAAAGGAACTCGAGAGCTGCACTGGACACGGTCACTATTTAATTGTCCATGGAGACAGATGACCGAGGAACTCACAGAGGCAAGTCCAGCCTCCGGGCTAGCTGGATCTGTCTGGTGAAGACTTCTCTTTGCTCCTGCTTCTGCTCATCAGTGGCGGCAAATCTGGGGGAGAAGTCGAGTCCGACCTGTCACAGAAAAAGAAAACAGGGCATGTGCTGATGGCTGAATGAGCCCCCCCAAACACAGTCCTGTCCGAGACGAATGTGACGCGGTCACCCACGCAGATCACAAGTTTGACTTTCCACCTGCCAGTCGCCACGTGAAACAGTCACACGAAGCCAGAACTGGGGTCCAGGCCAGACGTGCAGGGGCGGTGAGAGGCTTCACCAGAGGCAGAGTGGGGAGCAGAACAGGCAGATGGATGAAGTCCACGGCTGAGGGGAGCAGCGGGGAGACAGGAGCGGTCTGCTGCGCCCTGGGGGTCCCCTCCGGGGCCGGGATCGAACTCACGTTGAAGCGGCTGCAGCCGGCTTGCAGTGCTGCGGTGTCCTGACCCGCTGCGCCCCCAGGGAGGGCCCCTGGAATCAGCCTTAACAATATAGTGAATATACTACATGGCAGACATTATTACTATACAGTGGTATTATTGCCATAATTCCAATGGTACTAAAATAAGGACTGTGTTATTTTGCACTCTTTTTCATGGTGTAGTAAGACGTGGAAGTTCTCCGGCTTTTTCACTGACGGCGCATCTCAGCTGCGGTCAGCTACAGGTCAAGAGTCCACGCGGCGTGCAGCCCCCATGGTGGACAGGGGAGAGGATAAGGGCCACTCCCCGCGGTCTGACTCGGGCACACGCGTGCTCGTCTACACTGTGAGTGTGTTTAGTCTTCTCTCTTATCTTCAATTAGAATTGGATTTACAGCGCCCCCTGGTGGCGCAGCGGGTGAAGACGCAGCACTGCCAGCCGGCCGCAGCTGCTTCAGCGCGAGTTCGATCCCCGGCACTGGAGGGGACCCCCAGGGTGCAGCAGACCCCTCCTGTCTCCCCGCAGCTCTCCTCAGCAATGTGCTGTCTCCCCGCTGCTCCCCTCAGCAGCGGGCTTCGTCCATCTGCCTGTTCTGCTCCCCGCTCTGTCTCTGGGGCGTCCTCTGTCGAGGCTTGAGGGGGCATCGGTAATCATTACAGCTGAGCAGCGTGAGTGATTATCCCAGTCAGTGGGAATGAGCCACAGGGCTGTCCCACCCTGGGGGCAGAAAAGGCCTGGAGGACGGGGGCGGCCGGAGACTAGGGCGGCGCAGGCCACAGGGCACCGGTCAGCACCCGAGGCCAGCGGCCATTGCGGGGGGCGACAGGGACAGAGGACGCTGAGGTCAGGCTGGGAGCAGGACAGATTCCGGCACAGCCGCACGGCGAGGGTGACCCCGGACGGCCCCACGGAGCGGGCCTCAGGGGAGCGGGCCGGACCCTGGACAGGGCTCCCCGGGCTTCCTGCCCCCCGCCCGGGCCCTGCTTTGTTTCTCTTCTCCTTAACACGCTGGGGGCCCCGCAGCCTGGGGGCCACTCCCGGTGGGGACACGCTGGCCTGAAGACCTGAAGTGCTGGCATCGATGATCATGAAGGCTGAAGTAAGGATCATTTTCATGTGTCACCTGACCGCCCGGCTCGGGAGTCGCGTCCAGGGCCAGGAAGCGGTTACCTCTCCAACTGCCGACAGCCGATCCTTGTATTTCTCGATGATGGGCAAAGCTCCCTCCAGGTCCTGGGGTGGGGGAAGTGAGTGTGTTAAAAAAGAAGGGAACTGACACTTTTTGTTTCATTTAATTTTCTAGGATAATTTTTTTTTTTGGTAGAAGAACTGGGGTACAGGCCAGAGGTGCGGGGCTGAGAGGATTCCCCAAGGACAGAGTGGGGAGCAGAACAGGGGGAATCCATGGAAATTCACTGCTGAGGGGGCAGCGGGGAGACAGGAGGGGTCTGCTGCACCCTGGGGGTCCCTCCCTGGCCGGGGATCGAACTCGCGCTGCAGCGGCTGCAGACAGCTTCATAGTGCTGCGCTTGATCCGTGCGCCACCAGGCGGGGCCGGGCGATCTGTAAGGCTGGGTGACTGATGTGGGTGTGAGGAGCCACGGAGAAGCTGAGCCTGCCTGAGGCGGCCTGCGACAGACACTGCCTCGGGGAGGTCCAGTATCTTGTTTCAGAGGAGAGGACTGTGGTTTAACAGCCGAGACTCGCCTGCAGGGATGAGGCGCTCCAGGACCCTGCGAGTGGCTGGAGCGTGCTGACTCCCTCTCTCTCCCTTCCTGCCCTGCGCGGGGCAAGTGTGTAGCCCTTTCTGGTGAGCTGACCACTTCCCAGCCAGCACAACACTGGGCAGTTAAAAGCGCCCAGTCGGGATCCCACCGACGCAGGCACGACAGGCCCCGTCTCCTCTCCAGACTCTCCCTTGCGGGGCCTCGTGTGACTGTCACTCTTCGTGGAGAGACTTCGGGTGTCCTGTTCTCCTGGCTGTGATTCTGTGAACACCCCATGCTGCCTCCCACCCCTTACAGTCCTCCTTTTCGAGAAGCCTCTCTAGGCACAACACCTTCCTTCTTTATTCCCAACCTCTAAGCTGCACCTGCTTTTCTTCTTCCTCCTCGACGCTGCAGGGGCCATGTTTTATGTGACTGTTACCTTCAATGTGACGCTTCTTTGGTCTCCCGAGGGATGTTCTTGAACTGGGTGCACACCCAGGCACGGCAGGATGAGCCCATCATCCCTAGCCAGGATGCCAGACCAGCAGACCATGTGGATGGAGAAGAGAATGTCTTTTTAGGCAGGGTTAGGACTTTTTCCTTCTCATCCTCTCTAAAGACGGATGATGTTGGCCTTATCAGCGTGGGGTTATAACTGCATCTTTATTGGCAACTCTAAGTTCTCCAGGAAGGCAGTACCTTTCTGCAAGCTGCATGATCTTTTCGAATTCTCCCGCGTGCTCAGCAACCACCACAATAGCCCTGACGTTGGCCTGAAAAGAGAAGACAGGTCAGTTAAGAGTCTCCAACAGCAGCCTCCCTGGGGGTGCAGCGGTTACGTCTCAGCGCTATGGTGGAGTCATCAAAGGCCGCTGCAGCATGAGTTCGATCCCCGGCCAGGGAGGTGACCTGGGTGAACCCAGTAACTTGCCCAAGGCCCCTGGCGTGTGGAATGCAGAGCCGGGCTCCCCTGATCGTGCGCACTGAACACAGGTCAGAATCACAAACGCACGGGACGGCGTTCCGGTCACTGTGCGACAAACGTGACCCCCTCATTCTAGTGCATGTCACAAACTCTTCCCCAAACGAGCATGTTTTCCCACGTGACTTCAGGCTCTTCACAGTCGCGGTCACTGGACACAGAGCGACCCACCTGCTTCAAGTGGCCCGCAGGTGTGGTGGCGGCGGGGACTCGGTGGGATTAGACCATCTTGTCACCGGCTCCTTATGCGCGGTGACTAAGAGTCACTGATCTCTAGGTTTCAGTCTCCCCACTGTAGTGTGGGCAAGCTGCTTGCTGAGAACCTCCGGGGCGGGGTCGAACTCGGGCCGCAGTGGCTGCAGACAGCTTCACAGTGCTGAGACGGAAGCCCTGTGCCACGAGGGAGGCTACTGAATTTTGTGTATTTTAGTCGCACGCAGAAAAGGGCAGATACAGAGATTGACTTACTTTCTTGGCCTTCTCAAGCACATCTTCCAGGTCCTAGAATGAGCACAGGGGGTGTGTTTTTAGTGAGTTTACGTGACTAGCGACTGCTCTACAGTGACACACACACATGTCGTCGGACCCACACACAGCAAAGTAACAGTGGGGAGCAGGCGTGGTGGGATGTGGGGGGGGGCTCGTCTCAGCCACCTTCTGCCTGTTCTTTCTCCAAGCAAAATCCAGCTTCTGGCCCCAAGCCAAGAAGAGAGGGCCGGCTCTGTCACCCGCGGACACTTCTCTGTTCTCCTTGACTCTGTCCGAGCAGCCTTCACACTCACTCGCCACGCTTTCCTTCTGAAAACCCTTCCCAGTCGGGCCTCCCTGGGGGTGCAGGGGGTTCAAGCACAGCACCATGAAGCCAGCGCAGCTGCTTCAGCCCGCATTAGGTCCCTGCCCCAGAGAGGTCACACAGGGCGCGACAGACCCTTCCTGTCTCCCCGCTGCTCCCCTCAGCAATATACTTAGTCGATCTGCCTGTTCTGCTCCCCACTCTGTCTCTGGGAATCCTCTCACCAGCCCCTGTACCCCGGCCTGTACCCCAATTCTGTATGCATCAATACATGTTTTTAAAGATTTATTTATGTATGCATACAAGAGTTGGGATGCAGGCCAGAAGTGGGGGGCGGTGAGAGGACTCCCTAGAGACAGAGTGGGAAGCAGAACAGGTAGATCTGCTGAAATCCACTGCTGAGGGGAGCAGCGGGGAGACAGGAGGGGTCTGCTGCGCCCTGGGGGTCCCTCCCTGGCCGGATCCAAGTCCTGCCTCAGTGACTGGCACTAGCTTGATAGTGCTGAGACTTAACCCCTTGTGCCACCAGGGAGGCCTGATAAATCTTTAAAAAACCAACAAAAACCCTCCCGTCTTGGTTTCTGCAGCTCCCTGCCGGCCCCCCCTTTCCTAGCCTTTCCAGCTCCTGGTCTGGCTCTCAAGCTCCTGCTTCGGGACCCCACGTGCCTTCTGTCCTCAGCTTCAGGGATCGTACCCACAGCTTGACTTTCCCTCTACGTGCCGGTCAGTCTCCGGCCTTATGTCCACCCTGGAATTCTCTCCCGAGCTTTGGATTCACAGGTAACTGACTTTGTTTCCACCCAAACGTCTTAACTTGGGAATCCTCATGCAGCACGCACGGGGTGGTGGGGTGGAGGCATCGGCGACCCCGCCAGAAGCCAGGAGGCCGGGGGGTTCCAGGAACGAGGCCGGGGGGAGCGGCTGGGCGACCTCCCCGGCTCAGACAGAAAAGGCAGCGTGGCCTCGAGCTGGACAGAGCCTCCGGCCGTGGGCCGGGCGATCTGCAAAGACAACCGAGGGGAAGGACCGGCGCCTCCCCGCTCCCAGCGCCGGCCTCGCCCCCACGTACGCGGTCGAAGTCCGGGGCGGCGAGGTGGCAGTGACAGTCCACGAGCCCCGCGCCCGCCGTCCCCATGGCGACCCCGCGGCGCCCCGGCCGGAACTCGGCAGCGGCGGGCTGTGCTCCCGGCCGGACGGCGTTTCCGCACGGACGGGGGCTCCTCCCTCCACGGACCCCGCCCTTCCGCTTCCGGCGCCCGCGCCTGACGTTCAAACGACAAACATGGCGGCGGCGGCGGCGGCGGTGGAGCCGGTGGGCCTCGTCTCGGCGGCCGACGGGGAGCCAGTGGCCGGGCCGGGCAGCCGAGCCTCGGCCCCCGCCGGCCCCCGCGAGGACTTCCGGGTGCGCTGCACCTCGAAGCGGGCGGTGACGGAAGTGCTGGAGCTGTGCGGCCGCTTCGTGCGGGAGCTCGGGGACGCGCTCCCGGAGGAGATTCGGGAGCCCGCGGTGCGGGACGCGCTCTGGGTACGCGCCGGCGCCGCCTTCCCGCTCGCCGCGACTCCGCACCCGGGTCCCGGGCTCGGGCGGCCCCCGGAGGCGCGACCCCCGCGCCCGTGACCCTGGAATTGGGCGTGAGGTCGGGGGCGACGGCGGGTGCAGCGAGGCGCCCTGCCCAGACCCGTGGGCCAGGGCGCGGGCTTGACCCTGTGGTGATGGACAAACGCTCGTGGGAAGCCTCCGGTGTGGTCTGTGCAGCTTCCAGCGCAGCTCGGGCGGGGTCAGCGATTCCGCGGCCGGGGGCCTCAGACCCCTTCCCAGGACGGTGCCCGGGAGGTCAGCCACC